ATGATACCATTTTGAGTTCTATCCAAATTTAACTACTGATGTGGCAAAATCGGGTGTATTGTACAAAAATGCACTCATTTTGAATTTGCCACCTCATAATAACATGGGCGTTTATGTAATTTTAAAAAACTAACCACCCCAACTTCTTTCTCACACGCATCTCTCTTCCCCTTCACATTCTTTCCAAACCCTAATTACACGCCACCATCATGCCCAGACCAGCACTACTATCGACGGAGACGACAAGAACTACGGCTAGCAGAGAGGTTGTAGAGATCAAGACCAACGCCGCCCCATTCTAAGAAAGCTTCTGCCAGCGACATGAAAATTCGAGGTTGTGGGTGATGGGTTTGACAACACAGTCTAAGAATTTAGGGATGAGGCGGTTGAGTGATGGTTTGGTGAATTGAAGGCATCGCGACCCTTAGAGAAAAGGAGATCAATACGGTGGAGGAAGTAGTGGTGGTGGTGGCGGCGACGCCTCCATTTTCTCTCTCTGTTGATTTTAGCTGCCGATTGTGGGTTTGGGGATAGTGGGGGCTGGTTGCATCGCAGTGGTTGTAAGGTGGGAATGGTAGTGGCGCCGCGGTGGTTGTAAAGTGGGAATAGTGGTGGCAGTTACAACGATGGGATGGTGGCACGGTGGAGGCCCGTTGGTTGTCTCTCTCAGTTGATTTTTGTTTGCCGATTGTGGGTTTGGGGATAGTGGTGGTGGCGACGCTGGTGTAGGAGTGGTTGTAATACCCCTTGATTCTGGAACACGGGCTGATTAAGTCTATGTACGAGACTGAGGGCAATATCAAACAATTAATATTTTAAATCGAACACAGAATACAAAAGATAGATAAACAAAGAAATAATATTACTGAAGGGAAACTAATAAATAAATCATCCCCATTAAAATCCATTAATCCTTAACGATAAAAAAAAAAAAAAAAAAATCCTCAAAGAATTAATTCTCCAAAAGAAAACAACTCGGGAATCCTCAAACATGGACACCTAATAAAATCCCATAACTGAAACTAAATAAATTTCTAATAAACTGAAATAACTAATCAAAAGGTAGAATCCTACGTCGATGACACTAGAAGAGTGATGCTGCCAAGTCTCTGATCTGCACGTATAGATGTTAATCCTAATACTAATGAGGACCTGAAAAATATAACAATAGTGGGTCAAAACCCATAACAAGCCATTTCTACGACAACCCAAATAGAGATCTTAAGAAACTGCATATCTATAGCTAACTCATGCAATAACTACAGAGCCGATAAAAATATAAATATACACACTAAAGACTCTTATTAAATTAAGGCAAACTCAACCGTGTAGTAAGTATCTCATGCAAATTGCACACAAAGGTGGTCACGAGTCCTCCTTCTACCAAGGCACACATATCCCTAAATCTAGCTACCCATCTTAACTGGCAATATACGCCTCCGTCCTAACCATTGATCACAAGACCTCAAGCTTGTATCATGGTACGCATAATATCATTATAAATACAACTAACCATATCCTGACAATGGTATACAAACAACAACCATACCTATATCTTAACAATGGGTTGGAAGATATATAAAAATATATAATGGCCATATCCTAATAATGACATGTCATCCATATCCTGACAATGGTATGACATAGAATAACATCCTGACAATGGTTCTCCAATAACCCAAACATATATATATATATATTATGTTCAATATCATAAAATATAGATATGCAATTGATTAAAATTAAATTATATCATAACAATAAATAACATATAATTTCATGTTATTAAATCACAGGAATAACTTATAATTCATTTAAAGCATGCTGATATTTTATATTTACAACTAATTAAGAGTTCCACAAACATATCCCATGCTAAACATTTAATCTCAACTGTTAAAACAATTTAAAAGATTAAATTCATCAATTCATAATTAAATAAATTCCAGTTGCTTGCATCGTTATTACCATGCCCATTTAAATTCATATATTACCTTCTCTAAGTCCCTATTTAATGTTCAGGACCTTAAATAGTCAATTCGGGACCAAACGATAAACTTTTGCCCAAAAATCTCACATAGTGCTCGAGCACTGTCCTTAGTATCCTGAAGCACTATCCCAATAGTGCTTGAGCACTTTTTCGCAGAAGATAGTGCTCGAGCACTGTTTCGGGAAACAACTTGAGAACTTCAATTTTCAGTCCTGTTCTCCATTGTTAAGGGTCCTAAATCATATTACTAAGTCCCATAGACACCCAAGCACGAATTTACATCATTATAACATGTAACAATCCATTTAAATCAAATATAAGTCATGAATTTACCAAATCATACATCAAGAACAAATATGAACATAAACCCACAAAAACCTATGCTCTAGGTTAATTTAAACATGTATTCAGATTTTTATTAATCCTTTAATCAGCCCTAAAGTTATATTAAAGACATATAGATCACAGATCTAAGGGATAACTGTAGAACAAAGGATTTGTCTTGAACTTTCGGATCGAAAGTTAAACTCCTTCTTCCATGTTCGTCTTTTTTAACGCGCCTTTGGGTTACCGTCATCCACTGCGATGATGCTTCTTCTTCTTCCTCACATTCTCTCTCTCTTTCTTTCTTGCACCCCTCTCTCTTCTCTTTCTATATATATATAGACACATATAGATAGATATATACTACATATATCCTAGACCTAACATACGGTGACAATCTCAAACTAACTAAATAATATAATAAATAATTATTTTTAATGAAACATAGTATATATATACACCACAATATATATATATAAATACTGACCCCCATGGGTCACTATCCAACCCATTTAAGATCCCACTCAAATAGTCCAAACTCATCTAGTTGGTTCATGCTACAACCCAAATCCATAAACTTTTTAAAAATAATAATAAAAAATAATAAAACAAACAAATCATTTAACTAACACAACTAAACATTTAAAAACAATTTAATTACATAAACATATCATATGAAATCAAATAAAATACACATACACAATTAACCAACATAAATAATTTAATTAACTCAAATAAAATAATTAATAACACAATTAAACATAAAAATAAATAATCAAATAGCCACACAATAAAATAAAAATTCAATTAAAATACTTCAATAAATCTCCAGAAATTAGAGATATTACAATGGTGGTGCCACGATGGTTGTAAGGTGGGGAATATATGGTAGTGGTGCCGCGGTGGTTGTAAGGTGGGAATGGCGGTGGCAGTTACATCGATGGGATGGTGGCGCGATGGAGGCTCGGTGGTTGTAGTAAGTTGCCGATAGTTTTAGCTCTTAACTGCTATAAGGTCAATTTTGTCTTTTTAAAATTTTTATCCCCTCACGTGACCCACATGCCTTAATTTCTGTTAGATTTCTAACGAGGCTTAAACGTTTAGCAACAAACCTAATTGTTAAGGGGTTAAATGTCTTTCTAATAGTTCATGGGGTTAATTTTAGAAAGAGAAGAAAGCTCAGGGAAATTTAGTACACTTTACCCAAAAAAAAATTATTTTATAAAAAAACAAACTATCCCTTAATGTTTTAACACTTCAAAAGATTATACAAAGGAAATATATATAAATGTATATATATAATATAAGAAACAAATTAATTTGGACATCTTAATACAATACAATTAGTGCAAGAGTCCGGCGAACTTGAATTTGCTTGCAATTTCCATTTAGCAAAGTCGAGAGAGTAGGTCTTGAATTCGATACCTTTAGTGAAACTTTAACATGATACACACACATCATCGACTCCTTTAGTGAAATTTTAACATGATCCACACACATCATCGACTCCTTCAAGTCATAGGTGAGCCATAAACTTCAAGTCATAGATGTCCACAATAGGCTAGAAATGCATGGATTTTGAGAATATGTTACAGCCATGGAGAATACCGGTATACATAATAATAATGTCGATGCATCATTTTGCGCTCGCGCGCACACAAGATGCATGATGAGGTACTATAAATTCCGAGAGAGAGAGATTACATTCTAATATATACTAAGACTAATCAAATACAATTTTTAACCAAAATAAAATTATTGATATATATCAAAATATATATATATATATATATATATATATATACATATTTCTCTCTTGTGCTTTTCATTTCATGTAATTGTATTCCTAACGTTGGTTGATAAATCAAAATTGACAGGAAAACAATTGATCCTTACAAAAAGAGGACTTGTCGCCAATCAAATTAATATACATGTATTTTTCATATGGGACCGACTTTCAAAACTGAAACTGCCAAGACGACCATATGTGAATATAAATTACTACTCAATACTCATGCATTAAATATGTATGATTAGATAGAAATACAATAGACATGATAACATATCATTACAATTTACACTGATGAATGGTATTATATATATATATAAACTTTAGAAACTTACAAAAATTTAGTTGTTAAATTATGTTTGGTAGTTGAGGAATTAAAACTTTAGAATTGAAATTTGTAAAATTGAAGCTTAAAAAATTAAACCAAAAATTTCTTCCATTCTATCAATTTTAATTATACAACATTAGAGAATTTTATAATTTCCAATTTCCAATTTCCATTATAATTTTCAATTGGAATTGAAATTTTGAAAAACTATTTAAATATTCGTATACATAATTAATAAAATAATAATACATGTACATCACTTTTAGGAGTGGAATCATTCGTTGGACAGTGATATTAAAATTGAATTTCAAACTGCGAAATCAGTCCTAATTTTTTATTTAATATTTTAAAATTTAAATAAGATTTAATTTTTCTCAAGAACAATGCTATTTTATTGGATAATTCTTTTTTACATATTTTATTACAACATGTGACTATGCGAGTCTTATCTTGATGTTCTTGTTATATATATATATATATATATATATATATATATATATCGTGTAATAATAATACACCAATGTGGCTAACAAAGCCTAAAAAGCCTGATATGGCCCAGACTCTTAAATGCAACCGGAAACCATTCGGTAGGTAACCGAATTCAATTCTCCCTCTCCTATCTCTATATTTGCCACCCATATGATGAGATTTCATGCAAATCAAAAGCACACCATTAAAACACACACTCTCTCTCTCTCTCTAACAATAAAAAAAAAAAAAAAAATGGTAGGCATTGAAGGTATGGTTGTTTGTTGATACTAGTTATTACATTCAATGAGCAACCATAGTTAAAAAAAAAAAAAAAAACACAAATGAGCTTGCTCTTCATCATCTTCATTTTTGGTTTGAGTGGAAGATTTTGAGCTGGGCGGTATGGAAATAGAGGTTGCAGGTGGTGGCAGTCGTGGTGCTGGGGTGGCGGATCTGGAGAACGGGGCGGTGGTGAACGGCGGAGATGTGGGTGTAGCATACTTGGTGTGGGAAGATCTGACGGTGGTGCTGCCAAATTTTGGGCATGGACCCACCAAGAGGTTGCTTCATGGGCTTACTGGCTATGCTGAGCCTGGTAGAATCATGGCTATCATGGGTCCTTCTGGCTCTGGCAAATCCACCCTTCTTGATTCCCTATCAGGTCTCTCAATCTCTCTCTCTCTATATATACATATACAGTATGTATATTGGTTGTATACATATTTTCTTCTTCTTTTATGGTCCATAATGGTATTGCCGAGTCTCTCAGAACATTTCATCGCACATGTACCAGACAATTTATGGCTCCAAAGAAGCTATCCCCTAGGGGTTGTGTGCCAATAGTGAGTGTTGCAATTTTTTGGTGTACGATGAATGTACAAGACAAATTCAAATGTGTTTTTTCTTGGGTTTTTATCTTAATTTTGGAAATTGGAATAGCATGTCCTTGTTTCCAAATGGCCCTATTATTATTATTATTATGTTGGGAATTAGAATAGCATGTCCTTGTGTCCAAATGGCCCCATTATTATTATTTTAGGAATCTCTCCACCCTTTTCTAGGGTTATGATGATAAGGAAAAGCATCTTTGGGAAGATTCTGTAATTATTTTTCTGTTTCCACACACTGTTTGGCTTTACTAGGAAAATTTTCATTTTCTCTGAGAAAATGTCAATATAATGATTATATTGTCAACTACTAGGAATTTCTTTCCTTTCCTTTCCCATGTTTTTGTTTGTGTGTGACAATTGATAAACCAAAATGATTCAATTAAACCAGCTTAAGTTATCCTAAAAACCTTCTTGGTCTACCAAATCCTGAATGAATGCATTAATTGGGTGGATGAGTTGTTAGTTAGAGGACAGCTAAGCAAGTAAAAGTAAAAAGCTGACTGTCGATCATTTATGGCCCAAGCATTATCTGCCCACCCTATTTACTCTATGGTCTGTAAAGCCAATCTGTCAGGACTTTCTACCTCACAAATGTGGAGCGGCTGTGCAGATCTAAAAGCCCATATGAATGGTTATGTCCCTGTTGAGTTTAAGCATGTGTAGGGATGGCAATTTCGGGAGTATTTTGTTATTCAAACACAATCCATGTCAATAACTTTTGATATGAACACGATGTGTCAATAACTTTTGACACGAATACGATTTGATTATTAAACATATTACATTAACTTGTTTAATTTTAAATGGGTCATGTAACTGTTAATTAATTTAAGTATATACAATGACAAAATTGAGACAATAGAAAACAAAATTCATGAAAATGAGAATAATATGGATAATACATTTACAAAAAAATATAAAAAAAATAAAAAATGAAGCCAGATACAATACTCATAATGAATTTATATTGATATAATAGAAAAATCTATAATAGTTGGATTAAAATACGTTATGGGTTAATCAGGTTGGCCTGGCACGAGTGATAAAACGCTCTAATCGGGTTAAATAGGTTGATTTCCAAAACACGAACACGATTAATTAAATGGGTTGACACGATTATGACATGAACAAGATTAAGATCAACCCAAACTCATTAATTCAATGTCGTGTTCGAGTTGTGTTGACGAATCATGTTAAATCTTGCCACCTCTACATATCACTATGTCAGTATCATTTCTGGCCATTGGGAAGAAAAAAGAGATGGTGCTTTGGTACCAATATTTTTTTAATAGTAGGAAGGTGACCTTCAAATTGACATTAGTTTGGACTATGAACATATATTTTAGCCAAAAGTACGGAAAAAGGTAGAAATTAATCATGCTATAATTTGCAGCACTTGGGTCCTCATTGAGATGGTTCTGAATTCAAACTTGAAGACTCTTTTTGGTGGCTAATTATATTCAAATTAATGTGCTCTACCTCAGATAGTGAGTTTAGTGAAGTTGTTTACTTATGTTGGGTTCAAATTGCTCTCTTGAGTTTGTGTTTTGTGTGTATGTGTGTGGCTGCACATTTTTCTTTTACATCAAATAATGCTTGAGCTTGCCACAGGTAGGCTGTCCCAAAATGTTGTCATGACAGGCGATATTCTTCTTAATGGAAAGAAGAGGAGACTAGAATATGGTGTTGTGGTAAGTAATTTTTCATCCCCATAAATGTTTCATTTAAAAGGAAAATCAAGGTGTCTAGAATTTCAAATTCATGTGGAAGTTAGGAAGTTCGGTTTTTGTACACGCCACTGTAAAAGTTTGTCCTGAGAGCTTCAATGAATAAGAAAAGACCAAATGTTATTCTGAATTTGTTACCACTTATGCTGCATTTGGAATCAAATTCAAGAAAATTAATCATACATCTTTTTTAAATAAAAAAATGGTATGGAAAGCACTTTACACACACAATGTTTAACATGACTTCCCATCTAATTTTGAAAATTAGAAAATTTTATAGTTGCTTGATTTTTATTTTTATTTTTAAAGAAGTAATGGTATGGAACCTTTTCTTTTCTAATTCTGGTTTTCTTTTCCTTCTGTTGAAAATTTCAGGCTTATGTGACTCAAGAGGATGTATTGTTGGGAACACTCACAGTTAGAGAAACCATCACATACTCAGCCCATTTGAGGCTTCCAACTACCATGAGTAAGGAAGAGGTAAATGATATCATAGAGGCAACAATTATGGAAATGGGACTTCATGACTGTGCTGATCGGCTGATCGGGAACTGGCACATACGAGGTGTGAGTGGAGGGGAGAAAAAGAGACTAAGCATAGCACTTGAAATCCTTACATGTCCGCGTCTCTTGTTTCTTGATGAGCCCACTAGTGGCCTTGACAGTGCCGCGGCCTTCTTTGTTATCCATACTCTTAAAAATCTTGCTCGCGATGGAAGAACAGTCATCTCTTCAATTCATCAGCCTAGTAGCGAAGTTTTTGCACTGTTTGATGACCTGTTTCTATTATCAGGAGGTGAAACTGTATACTTTGGAAAAGCGAATAAGGCTGTAAAGGTATGGAAGAAGAAACATCTATCCTATAAACATGGTCAAAATTTAAAATGCCACTATCAAATTCTTGTCATGGTCAATATTTTGTTGTAATCTCGTTGACAAATTTATAAATGGTGAATTTCCTAACATTTTGTTGGTATTGCTATAATCTAATGTGTCTTTATTTTTCTATATATATATTTTTCCAGTTCTTCTCTGAAGCAGGATTTCCATGTCCAAGCAGAAGAAATCCTTCGGATCATTTTCTACGTTGTGTTAATTCAGACTTTGACATTGTAGAAGCCACACTAAAAGGATCACAAAGAATTCGTGTACGTATGCCCTAGCTTTTGTATTGTCTTCTTTATTTACTAGTATTGTTTAACAAATCTATCAGCTGGTGTGTTAATGATGCCTTATAATTTACTACCTTGAGTTTGATGCCAAACAAGGTATAACAAATCATATTTGCTCTTGATTGTTACCAAACAACTGCTAACACAATTTCTAAAAATAATTGGAAGAACAAACATTTCAGAATAAATAAGCCATAGATAATACATTATAGGATTTCATTTCTAAATGAATATATGGTAACAGATGTATAAAGATCCATTCATTTTCTACCTTGCAGATCTTGAATATACTGCATCTCCATTCAGAAATATATGTTGGATATTTCTTATTATCCGCGTTTGTTAACTACAGGAAACAGAAAAACCATCAGATCCTTTGATGAATTTGCCGACATGGGAGATCAAAACAATGCTTATGGAGAAATACAAGCGCTCAGAGTATGCGGCAAAGGCTAGAGCTAGGATCCAGCAGATCTCTAACATTGTAAGAGCATTTCAAACTTTAAGATTAACAAATTCAATTGGTTATTGTCATCATAGGTTCTTCTTTGTGTGTGTGTGTGTTTTTTAAAAGTGACAATATCTAGGAAGAAAGAACAATAATGTAATCAAATATGGGCCAAAGCCAGTGTGGCCAAGGGAGGATTAACAGGAAATTTTGCCTTGGGCCAAAAAGAAAAGGGAAAGAAATAGAATCTGATATTGCAGAGTGTAAATTCAAACAATTCATGAACCAAGTTCATCTGTTCATCATTATTGCAGCGAGGACTCGAAATTGAAAGAAAAAGGGGGAGCCAAGCAGAATGGTGGAAACAACTTTTGACATTGACGAGGAGATCTTTTGTGAACATGTCTAGAGATGTGGGATATTACTGGCTACGTATAATCATCTACATAATCGTATCTATTTGTGTTGGTACTATTTATTTCGATGTTGGTACTAGCTATACTGCAATCTTAGCTCGGGGAGCTTGTGGTGGGTTTATATCAGGATTTATGACATTCATGTCCATCGGAGGCTTCCCATCTTTCATTGAAGAAATGAAGGTAACGGTTGTCATGTTTGCAGAAGAATTGGTGTAGAAACATTATACTGGTGGTTTTAAGCGTTTTGATGTTTCATTTTCTTTGAAACAGGTTTTTAAACGAGAGAGGCTCAACGGACACTACGGAGTTGCAGTGTTCATTCTATCGAATTTCCTCTCTTCCTTCCCATTTTTGGTTGCGATTGCAATCTGTACCGGAACCATTACTTATTACATGGTGAAGTTCCGGCCGGGGTTTTCTCACTATGTGTACTTCTGTCTTAATCTCTTTAGTTGCATTGCTGTTGTAGAGAGCTGCATGATGATTGTAGCTTCATTGGTTCCCAACTTCTTGATGGGAATCATAACTGGGGCTGGAATTATTGTAAGAAACCTACTTAAACCTTTCTCGAAATTTTTTTTTTGTCATCTCCATCATTAGTTCATTTCCACCATCATCCTTGTCATGATGATTAATTGCCTATTTATGCAGGGAATCATGATGATGACTGCCGGGTTCTTCCGTTTGCTGCCTGATCTTCCCAAGCCAGTTTGGCGCTACCCGATTTCTTATATCAGTTATGGCGCGTGGGCATTACAGGTATTATTTTTTTTTTTGGGATATCATGTTTTTCAATCAGTTTCACAAAAATCAAAATTGGATCAGTGGATTTTTAGACCTTTTAGTTGTGAGATGAAATACATCAATGTTTTCTATAATTGCAACACAAAATATGATCCAATTCTGTAAGATACACACCTTCATATATGGCATTTTGGCATAGCATTGGGACAGAACACAAAATATGATAGTAAGCTATCTTTTATTGACGTCTAAATGATCATCTCAATAATGTTCTTGGCTAGACTTGAACCCTCCACCTCTCTCGTTTTAAAAGAATAGGAGACACCGCTAGGCTATAGACCTTGGTTTATATGTCGTCTTATAGATGACAAGTTTGTATCTAGAATGTTTGCCGTCTCCATTGTGTGAATGAGTTGCCACTAAGGTACTTTCCCATGGTGTGGAACTCGTGTGTGTGAGTGTGTGGTTTATTAGGGGGTCCTTTTTGGGAGGGGAGGTAGGTGCATATTGAGAGTTATATAACCTTTTATCGATCTTTCCATCAAATTCACATTTTGTCAAGTCTATGCTGGGTTAAATTGATATTCCCATATATATAGATTTATATTCATTTTTTGTTTTTCTTTCTAATTTATTTTTTCGTCTCATTCCGTAACAATCTCCACAACCAAAAAATTATTTTATAAATGGCATAAATGTTTAAATGCCCACATACTAGGCAAGTTCTAGTGTGTCATAGTAGTAACTAGAAAGACTAATTGGATGGAATGAATTGAATTCATCATCACTGTAATATTAATGGGTAATGCAGGGTGCATACAAGAATGATCTGATCGGGCTTGAGTTTGACCCCATGTACCCCGGTGACCCAAAATTGAAGGGTGAGGATGTCATCAAGAACTTGTTTGGGATACCGTTGGATCATTCCAAGTGGTGGGATTTATTTGCTCTATTCGTCATCCTCGTATCTTATAGACTTGTCTTCTTCATTATTCTCAAGTTTAAGGAGAGAGCTTCACCACTGTTTCGGTACTTTTATACCAAGAGAACTCTTCATCATCTCAACAAGAGGCCTTCAATCAAGGCGAAGTCGCCTTTTTCTTCAAAGAGGCATCATGCTCTCCATTCATTGTCTTCTCAAGAGGGTCTTAGCTCTCCAATCCCCTAGAAGCCACGGTTTTTATCGTATAGTCCCAAATGTTGATTGATTTTAGTAGTTCATGATAAGATCGCCGTCTTTTATTCATTGCTTCGAGTTGGTTCAGTGTTATCGGTATGACCTTTGATAGAGCGGAATGAAAGAATATGGTTCATGTAGCGGACTTCAAGTAGTTCAGAAAAGACTTTGTTTGATGTTATTAGTTGGTGCCGTGTTATCGGTCTCATTTTCGCTTTCGGGATGCAATAGCAAGTGTTGAATAGAATGACGAAATGGTAACCAGAGTGGCACATAGCCATGCTGTTATGGGGAAAGATGGATACTGTACAGACTTTCTCTGAGGGTGGTAGCATTCATGTGGTATCTTATGTGGGACACTAATAGCTTGTATAATTGGTTACATAATCTTAAAGATGTTACTTAATTCTTCTTGTTATTCTCAATGGGGAATATGATAGTAAGCTATAATTCTCAATACTGTTACTATTATGTTAATTTAATTTAATTATTATTATTATTATTATATTTTGCCTAACAAATAAATTTCATAATGTTCTTGGAGAGACTTGAACCCTCGGCCTCTTGTTTTAAAAGAAGAGCAGGTACCACTAGGCTACGGCCTCTTGTTTTAAAAGAAGAGCAGGTACCACTAGGCTACGGATCTTAGTTTAGTTTATGTGTGTCTTATAGATGAAAGTTTGTTGGTTACGTAGCGCGTAGGATAATAAAAATAAAATAATAGCGGAAGTAATTTTTAATTTAACAAAAATAATTTTTATGAGCTTCTTAAATCGTCTCAATGCTTTAATGAATCATGGTTAATCCTTAATTACTGAAGAAGGTTTGATGAACATACCTTGAAAAATTGCCTACCACCGATAATCAATTGATTGCTAGATTAAAGTCCACAGTCCTTGATCTCCAACGGCCCGTGGTACCTTCCATATCTTCACTCCTATCTTCGGTTTGGAAATCGATAAGCAGTGAGAAGTGTGGGCTTCAAATCTCCCTTTGAATGTGTGTAGAGAATTTGATATGTAAATAATATCTCTCTCTTTCAATTGATTCATCTCCTCAACTGAATTTACAATATGATGTATCTCTCTCTTAGAATGAATGGAATAATACCAACACCTCCTTTTATATAGGGAAAATGATAATTTTGACGACATATATCTAACGACTTAAAACCGACACAAGTAAAAAAAGCTTACCACGTAATAACAACAAAATGTTCTCTCTTGCTCGCACACTCTCCTCTGCAAATCATTGGCGGCAACGAGGACCTGGTGATAGAGATCCATTGGTCTTGCTGGCGAAATTGTTCCAAAATATCATAGATATATCCCAATTTATCTCATTGAAAAAATATATAGGGCTGAAAATTCACGTTCTGAAGCAATTAGGGCTATAAAGCTAAACTGAAAATAATTTCACCATCATCTATTCCTTCTTCACATTCTTTATCTTCTCCACCTTATCGGAGATTAGTTTCAGTCCCAGATTTGGCTTTGCCTTCGTCGTCTCCATCTCCACTGCACGTACCGGTGATCTCTCCCGCGAGTACTCAATATTTTCTTTAACACCATTGTCTCGCCCCAATCCTCGCCGTTGAATTCGACACCAGCCAAAGCCCAAACAATCACATCAAAATCAACTAGAACAACATCGAATCGAAGGCGATTCCTAGATTGAATTTGGGTAATACATGTCTGGAATGAATTTGAGATCATTGATCATATGTATTTTTTTGATTTCTACACAGTATTAGCTATTTGAGTGGTATAGAGAATTGTTTAATTTTAGTTTAGTTTTATGCATAGAAAAAAATATATATATTTAAAGTACCAAGTCTTGGGGATGTTGAATCGACTTGATGAATATCAAGGCAGGATTAGAGTTTGCTATGAATCAAAGAGAGATGATGCATGATTGCTTTGGTGGAGAGATGAATAAAAAATAAATTAATTAAAGTAGATATGTACGCTACTTGTGAACAGCTGGCCCACACAATGATATACACGTTGGAGTCGTATTTTGTCGGTTTTTTAATAGTCGGGAGAAATAGCACTACTCTTAAAAAGAAATAATTGCACTCAAGGATAGGAATAATTACTATTAATTACAATTCAGTCCCAATAGTTACTTAATACCATAAATCAACCCTTCCATGATAACTAATTATTTAGATAAATATCACCATCAATCCAACGTACTTATTTGGATAAGTATCACCATCAATCCAATATACTAATTAATCCATGTTTGGTCACCTAAATTTATCCGTATGTATACATATATTTTTAATAAATTAATATTAAATATATCTGGCCACACTTCTGTAATCAAATCGACCTAGCCAAAGTACTTTACCACGTGGATTCCATTTTGATAAAATATGTTCTGTAGCGAATATATTAATTATTTACCCAAAATACTTAAGTTGTCCAACTCGAAGGGTACTTCAAGTATTTCAAAGTAAATAATTAATATAACCCAAGTCGGTATAGTTGTTAGAATTAAGAGTCAACTTATATAAGTAATAGATAAAGAAAATTACTTATGATGGTGCAGGTAATTTTTTACTTATCGTCGATCCGTTCAGCCATGACAAATACGCCTACACATATGGTTCTGGATCACCCCATCCAGACGACTGAGATAAGCCACTCCACTTAGTATTTCTACCGAGTTAGAAACTAACATTATACTCACGAAATAGAATGCCCAATTATATTCCTTAGAATATGACATTAATAATTACGAATACCGATGAATCTATATCTCTCGTGCACGTGCCTTTATCTCCTGTGCACATAAATTCATCATATCATAATTAATTGATAATTAAGATCAAAAAGTCCTTAATTTAACCGATACACTATCATCAATATTATAAACGAAGATAAATAAATCAAAATTTATAATTAATAAATGTCAATAATGATTTTGAAGAATATACCATCCCTAACAAAAAGTTTGTATTTAGAATGTTTGTCCTCTCCATTGTGGGAATGAGTTACCACTAAGGTAGTTTCCCATGGTGTCCAACTCTTGCGTGTGTGTCTATGGTTTATTAGGGTGTCCCTTTTGGGAGGAGAGGTAGGGCATATTTACAGTTATAACCTTCTATTGATCTTTCCAGCAAAATCACATTTTGTCAAGTCCATGCTGGGTTAAATTGATATTCCCATGTTCATGCATGCCAAATTTCTAGTTGAATTGATCCTTCCAATTGAAACTGCAAGACTGAAATTTATTCAATGTCTTCGAGTTACTTTCTTTATCCTATCAATTTTCTATTTGTTTGCATGACAATTGACAAGCATAGTAAAAATATCTTGTCCAATTTATGTTTGATCAATAAGACATGACTGCTAAAAGTTATTGAGAGGTGTATGATGATCCTGGAAACCATAAATCTATATGTAGATACATATATCCAATTTTGTGGTCTTAATTATTATTATTTTTTTTCATGTGACTTTGATAACAATCTTCACAACCAAAATTTGTCATATTAATGGGGTAATGCAGGGTGGATACAAGAATGATCTGATCGGGCTCGAGTTCGACCCTATGAACCCCGGTGACCCGAAATTGAAGGGTGTGGATGTCATCAAAAACATGTATGGGATGCCGGTGGATCATTCCAAGTGGTGGGATTTAGTTGCTGTACTCGCCATCCTCGTATCTTACAGACTTATCTTCTTCATTATTCTCAAGTTTAAGGAGAGAGCTTCGTCGCTGTTTCGGTCCCTGTATACCAAGAGAACTCTTCACCATCTCAACAAGAGGCCTTCAATCAAGGCCAAGTCACCTTTTTCTTCAAAGAGGCATCATGCTGCTCTCCATTCTTTGTCTTCTCAAGAGGGTCTTAGCTCTCCAATCCCCTAAAATGTTGATTGATTTTTTTTAGTTCATGATAAGATCACCGTCTTTTTTTTTTTTTTTTTCATTGCTCTGAGTTGGTTCAGTGTCATCAGTATGGCCTTTGATAGAGCGGAATGAAATAATAGGGTTCATGTAGCTAACCTTGAGTAGTTCGGAAAAGACTTTGTTTAATGTTGTTAGTTGGTGCAGTGTCATCAGTCTCATTCCTCACTTTCAGTATGCAAGTGTTGAATAGAACGATGAATGGTAACCACAGTGGCACATAGCCCCTGCTTCTCTTGGAGTGGTGGCATTCATGTAATGTCATTCTGTATGTGTTTATTATTGAGGTCTGCTCAATAGAGAACACGGGTGACATTGAGTGACATTGTTCTGAGTGCGAGATACACACCATGACTAGTGAACTAATTAAGATTTTGAATAGGCACTGTAAACTCTTTTCTTTGGGGCAAGAATAAGTCCTTTTCAGCTGGTCGTTGACTGAACCGACAACTCATGTGAAGAGGTGAAACTCACATATTGTGAGGTTCACGGACCCATGTGAGTAGTCAGTTGATGTAACGTAATTCTTTCGATAATAATCTTCACGTATCTCTCTCCACCCTCATATCATTAATACTAACCTCCTTCCACGCAACCTCATAACTACAACATCAAGCTTAGGTTTAATTTATTCTCTTTTATATGATGATCAATCTGGTTTGAATTAGGACTCCTGAACCCTATGTTAGATTTTCTATATTTTGCTTTACATTGGTTTACGCCTACATCCACAAAAAAAAAAAAATAATAATAATAAATAAATAAATAATATTTAAAAAAATCACTTAAGTGAAAGGATTAAATTGATATTTATAAGATCACTTTTGGTAATAACACAACTTTTGATAATAACATGTATATCTTCTATAGCCAAACAAATAGATAATTTATCTTTTGATAGTAACAGCATTTTTGGAGCACCACAGATGTCAATTCCCAAAACAACTTTTTCATACATTAAAAAGTATATTGATTTGAAAGCCTCAGCTAATAGCAATTCATGTTTTTCTGTATCCATATTAAAGGAAGAGAGAGAGAGTTTATTAAAGTGTTATTATGATTATTATATGATTTCGTGATAATGTGGTTCGATCAATCACTTAACTTGTCAACTAAGGGCAGTTAGTGATTGGCCGAAATTAATGATCTCCAGATTATATAATACTTTAAAATAAATTATACTGATTTTTTTTGAAAATTTGACAAATTATACATAGATAGATCATTCAGTGTTTATTATTTTGATCTTACCTGAGATTTGAGACATGTGCTCAACGACACCTCTAGCGTTTTGTGTTTTTTTTTTTGTCAGATAGAATTTGTTGACGAAATTTTATAAAATGACAATTCTGCTCTTCTCTTGTCTAAAATGTAATATAATATATTATTATAAAATAAGGATATTGCTAACTTTTCACACTCAAAGTCATTTTCCTGTCACAGACAAACGGTTTTAGGGGAAGTCAAAGTAATAATCACCGAACAGTCTATTTATGTATAATTTGTCCAAAACTCAAGAGAGATCAATGTAATATTCCAAATAATTTATCAACAACACATGGTAATACAGAAGCTGCTCCTCTATCT